TTGGGGGGGGGGGGGATCATGTAGGGTGGTTGACCATCTCCGACATGCCTATGATTTCTAGTTTAATTTAGTTCTAACAAACAGCTCTCATTGTGTGTGTTTGTTTCACCAAACCCCATACATTGAGGACCATTCTGATCATTTTATCTTTGTTTTCTGTTTTTGTTATACTGTGTTCCTCAGAGGCTGCGTTTCTGTGGGTAAGCAACAGCAGAAACATACAACACTTAAATTGAAAAGGAAAATGATGGGGCTATGATGATTGATTGTTATTGAGCATATAGAACCTGCCATTGTAGTTTCAGGCCTGTATCTTGGCGGGGCGACCAATATTATAGGGTTTGCAGCCATGGCAGTGTCAAAGAACTTTTGCCTGAGATCAACTACTCATCTGAGCCTCAAGAAATGGCTGAATACATCGACAGCCCCTCAAACTTGTCAATTTTTTTCATTTGGACACCTGAACTAATGGTGGTTCTATTCATCACCTGAACTCGAGTCAAACTATGTCTATTAGACATAGACACACGTTGCTGAAGTTGTCCAACCGGGCTCTTATGGAAAAGTTAACACTTTCCAACTTTTCCATAGGAGGCGGTGATGATATTGCTAATCAGGTCTGGAATTTGAGGCATGGAGAAAATCCAACCCGTATCTAGGCATGGCAAACCCGGATGGTTTGTGATTGGGGCTTCTCTTTCACATACAACCGGTTCTTTTGCAGCCACGGCATTGTTGCCTTCTCTTTGCCCCATTTTAGGCATATCTGAGCCTCAACTTCCAATTACTCTTTAAAATAGGGTCCTAAAAACGGCTATTTGTTCACTTCCCCCATTTTACGGCATTGAGAAAATCCGATCCGTTTCTAGGGCGACCTGGTATGACATCATTTGCAAACCGGTGTCTGCAGTCATGGGATGTGTCACTTTCACTTTGCATAGTTCGTAGAACAACCATTTGATGGTCTTGAATGGATGGTCGTTCTCTGGAACCGGAACACACTGTTGGGTTCTTCATTTTTTTCTTGAACATCCCATTTTCAGATGCTGTTTTCCATCAAGTTGGTTGCTAAAAAATGAGGCAATTGGAGACAGAATGGAGATTTTTCAGGGTGGTTGACCATCTCCGTCATGCCGGTGATTTATTTTTTGCTCTAAATCAACAACCCCTTTTGCATATATGATTGTGTGCATATGTGTATGTATGTATGTATCTATCTATCTATTACCTGTAACCTGTAATTATTTAACTGCCAGTACCACGTTGGGCTGTTTTATGAACCAAACAGCAAGAGATCAGTGTAAGAACAGGGAGAATTATTTAACTGCCAGTACCCCGTGTGATAGGATGGAGTGTATGCAGACCTTACCCTTACCTTGTGTGAGGTAGAGAGACTGTTTTTAAGCATTTTCAAAACAGGCTTGAAAAATACAAGAGTAAAAAGCTAAGGATGAAAATACTGAAGAAAAGAGAAGTATTGACAGCAAAATAGTAGAGATAACTAACGTAAAAGAAACAACAGTCGTAATAAAATTAACTAATAAGATAATAATAGAAAAATGATAATAATATTGATAAGGAGAAGAGAGGATAAGCACTGTTTTCTGATATACTCACAAAAAGCCTCGATTGAAACATACATGGCAGGGTAACCTGGAGAGGTTGTAGTGTATGATGCGCATGTATATTATCTGAATACTAGGGGTATCGATGGTTCGGTTCGGCCAATTATTTTACAATGAGGCCCATATTTTTTGGAGGTCCAAAAGCATTAGGGAACTGTAACCTGAAGCGGACGGGGAAACAAAAATGATAAAAAGCTAATTAGTTTAAGTCTGAGGCTGCTGGATTCAGAGAGTTGTGGGGAGTTCTTTGAGTGGTTGCCCCTCTCTACCATTCTTAGCGATCACTCAAAGTTTTCCTATATCAAACCACTCATTAGCAAAATAAATTCAATGAGGCAATGAAGTTGTTCACTCTTTACTCATCAGCTGGTTAAGCTTTGCTATATCTTGGCGTGGCAGCTTTTGGGAGGTCTTGTGTGACATTGCAGCTATTTTGGTTTCTGTGTCTCGCAAAGGCTCCTTAAGCTTGCAGCCATGGCGGGTTTAGCTTATGCCTGAGAAAAGGTGAATCTGAGCCTCCCGGGTATCTTTTTGTATTTAAAGAATGAGGCTTTTTATGGAACTCGAGAAAGCTTGAGATTTTCTAAGGGTGGTTATTCTCTTTCTTGGAAGTGCAATTTAGCCAATAAATTTTCCTATGTCTTTGTTGCAAACAGAAATATTAACAGCCCTTTCATCAGCAAAAAGCCAATTATGGTGTTGAGGATAATGATGAATTGATGATAGCCATGGTTGTGGTAGTAATAAAGAAAAGGCCAAATACATAGATAGCCCCTTAAAGGTGGCACGATTTGTCAGTTAGTTTGCCCCTAAACTTGTCTAGACTCTAGAGAAATCTTTTTGTACTTGGATCCCAGACCCTAGACTTTGTGAATGAGGCTATGATTATATTTTCCAGGAAGCTTGAAAGTAGTCAGATTGTTGAGCTGATTCGCATCTTGGCTAGGCAAACACGGGGGAGTTTGTGAGGTGGGTTCTTATTTGCTCTCTCACAAAGGTGTCTGCTTCTTGCAGCCATGGCGGATTAACCATTTTTCTGATAGATTTATGGCGAATCTGAGCCTCTTTTCTGTGTAAAGTGAGCTTTTTCTTTCTGCGGATCTTTACCCAAATAGTCAGTCGGATTCATACATGGTTATACACATCTTACACATGGATTATACATCCACCAGCTATTCTTAGTTTAAGCGGTTGGATGTGCGGCTATTTAGGTTAATTCTTCTTCTTTCTGGGCTATATCTGCTTTAAATGCATTGAGAAAATCCAACCCGTATCTTGGCGGGACATCTGTGTATGTCAATCATCTGCAAACCGGTGTCTGCAGCCGTGGCGTGTGTCCCTTTCTCTTTGCATTTTTCAAAAAACAGCTGATGTTTATATGTGTGTTTGTTTAATCAAACCCCATACATTTAGGACCATTTTGTTCATTTTCTCTCGGTTTTCTGTTACTGTTACGCTATGTTCCTCACAGTTTGCATTCTATGGCAAAGCAACAGCAGTAACATACAACAATGAAATTGAAAAGGAAAATGCTGGGGCTGTGATGATTGATTTTTATTAAGCATACGGAACCTGGCATTTTAGTTTTAGGCCTGTATCTTGGCAGGGCGACCTGTATTTTAGGGGTTGCAGCCATGGTAGTGTCAAAGAACTCATTGCCTAAGATCAATACTTATCTGAGCTTCAAGTCTTTCTGAAATGGCTGAATACATCAATGGCCCCTCAAACTTGTCAATTTTTTTCATTTGGACAGCTGAACTAATGGTGGTTCTATTGACTACCTGAACTCGAGTCAAACTGTGTCTATTAGACACACGTTTCCGAAGTTGTCCAAACGGGCTCTTATGGAAAAGTTAACATTTTCCAGAAGAGGCAGTGATGATATTGCTAATCTGAGCATAATAACCGAGAAAATCCAACCCGTGTATTGGCGGGGTAACCCGGTATGGCATCATTTGCAAACCGGTGTCTGCAGCCATGGCCTGTGATACTTTCTCTCTGCATAGTTCATAGAACAGCAAAATCTGAGCCCTAAAAGTTATACGGCAGCCATTTGATGGTCTTGAATGGATGTTCGTTCTCTGGAATAGGAAAAATGGAGATTCAGTCCAGTAGAAGAATGAGGCCAACAGAGAGAAAAAGGGAATTCTTGTGAGGGTGGTTGCCCCTGCTGCTTGGCCTATGATTTCTCCATCAACCAAACCAACAACCCTCTTCAGAAATCCTAGTACTGCTTTCTGATTTCTCTGAGCTTAAACTAAACATCCTTTGATCTCAGTGTTAGTTTGTCAAAAATTGTTTGAAATTGACTAAACAGGCTATATATGGAAAAGTTACCATTTCTCTAGAGGCAGTGATGATATTGCTAACCTGGGATAATATTCGGGGCGTGGAGACAATTCGACCCCTATCTTAGCACGGCAAGCCCGGATTGTTTGTGATCGAGGCTTCTCTCACATGCAACCGGTTCTTTTGCAGCCATGGCATTGTTGGATTCTCTTTGCCCCATTTTTTGTAGATCTGAGCCTCAATTTCCAACTAGTACATCTGGACTTTTCGGGACTCAAAACCATACATCTGGACTTTTCGGACTCAAACCAGGACGTCTCGTTTGGTATAACCCATTTGTGTTTTTCAGTTTTTCTTGTTTGTTGCAGTTCTCCATAAAAATTTTAGCTCAAAGAATGAGGCAATTGGAGAAAAAATGGATTTTCGAGGGTAGTTGAACGTCTACATCGTGCCTATGATTTCTATTTCCTTTTAGCTCTAACAAACTGCTTTTTTTCTTTATGTGTGGGTTTGTTTAACCAACCCCCATACATCAAGGACCATCTTGATCATTTCTCTCTGTTTTCTGTTACTGTTTTACTCTGTTCCTCAGAGGCTGCGTATCTATGGTAAAGCAACAGCAAAAGCATACAACAATGAAATGGAAAAGGAAAATGACGGGGCTGTGATGATTGATTGTTATTAAGCATATAGAACCTGGCATTTCAAACCTGTTTTGAAAAATGCTTTTCTTGAGCCAAGGGTCTACCGGAAACAACCTCTCTACCCCACAAAGTTACGGGTAAGTTAGGGGTAAGGTCTGCGTACACCCATCCTCCTTAGACCCCACATGTGGGATCACACGGGGTATGTTGTTGTTGTTGTAACCTGGCATTGTAGTTTCAGGCCTGTGTCTTGGCGGGGCGACCCATATTATAGGGTTTGCAGCCATGGCAGTGTCAGAACTCATTGCCTGAGATCAATTACTTTTATGAGCCTCAAGCCTTTTTGAAATGGTTGAATACATCCCCTCAAACTTCGCAAGTTTTTTCGTTGAGACACATGAACTAATGATGGTACCTCTTGAACACCTGAACTCGAAGAGGCAGTGATGATATTGTTAATCTGGGCTAACATTTGGGGCATGGATAAAATACAACCTGTATATTGGCATGGCAATCCCGGATGGTTGTGATTGGAGCTTCTCTTTCACATGCAGGCGGTTATTTGGCAGCCATGGCATTGTCACCTTCTCATTGCCCCATTGTAGGCAGATCTGAGCCTCAACTTCCATTAGTCTTTAAATAGGGGTCCTAAAAATGGCTATTTGTGCACTTCCCTCTCTTTATTGCATAGAGAAAATCCAACATGTATCTTTTTTTTTTGATAACCGTGGTGTCCAGGCCAGCTTGCGCGCACCTCGACTAATTCCACGGGATACCTGCAACCTCCCACTAGCAACAGGTACCAACAGCTATCAAGTAACTCTATCCACCAAGGCTTGGATAGATGGGAAGAAATTTGAACCTGAGACCTCATGGTTCTCACCCACTTCATTGACCACTAGGACACCCTTGGGTGCATCAGTGTATTGGTATTACTTACAAAATCCAACATGTATCTTGGCGGGGTGATCCGGTATGGCATCATTTGCAAACCGGTGTCTGCAGCGTTTGCCTGTGACACTTTCTCTTTGCATAGTTCATAGAACAGCAAAATCTGAGCCCTTAAAGTTTTTTGTTTTTTTCTTGAACACCTATTTCAGATCCTGTTCTCCATCAATTTTTTATCTAAAAAATGAGGCAGTTGGAGAAAAAATAGGGATTTTTCAGGGTGGTTGACCATCTCCGACATGCCAGTGATTTCTTTTTTGCTCTAATCAACAGCCCTTCCTGCATATGTATGAGTATGTGTATATAATAATATATATATGTATTTGTATGCCTATTTCGATCTCTATCTATGACTAATCTGTTTCTGCATGGCTGCGTTTTCAAGCAAAGCAGCAGCAAAAGCATAGAAAGGGGAGGTTTAGTTTCCTAAATGCAGACTTACGTGCTCTCTTCGGTTAAATTCTCTCTTATAAATCAGAGAGTGTTTTACTTCACAAAATTGGAGGTTCAGACCAGTATGAAGAATGAGGCCAACAGAGAAAAAGGGAATTCTTGTGAGGGTGGTTGCCCCCTCTACTTAACCTATGATTTCTCCATCAACCAAACCAACAACCCTCTTCAAAAAAGTACTACTACTACTACTATTGGTTTCTGATTTCTCTGAGCTAAAACCAAACATCCTCTGATCTTAGCGTTTCTTTATCAAAAATTCTTTGAATTGTCCAAACGTCTACTGTGTAAAAGTTTCTACTTTTCAAAAGAGGCAGTGATGATATTGCTAATACTGGGCTGATATTTGGGGCATGGAGACAATCTGACCCATACCTTGGCAGGGCAAACCCGAAGGTATGGGTGAGGCCTTCTCTGTCACATGCAACCGGTTCTTTTGCAGCCATGGCGTTGTCGCCTTCTCTTCGCCCCATTCTTTTGCAGATTTGAGCCTCAATCTTCAACTAGTCTTTGTGGACTTTTTGGACTTGAACCCAAGACCTCGTCATGTGGAAACCCATGTCATTTTTGAAATATGCATGTTGTCTTTGCTGTTGCTGCTGCATCTTCTTCTTTTTCTTTTGTTCTTGATGATGATTGATGTGTTATCAACCAAATAGCAAGAAATCAATGTAATAAGAGGGAGAATTTATGGCTACGAGGATAATTCTTTTTTTGAGCAATTTGAATTAGGCTTTGAAATGATAAAGCCTTACTTTGGCAGGGTAACCAAGAGAGGTAGCAGCCATGGCGGTTTTTGATAAACTCAATGCCTGATTAAATTGAAATCTGAGCCTAAGTTATGTACATGATGCACATGTACATTGTCTTTGTATTACGTACATAGTAACATACACAAACATATCATGAGAAAATGTCCAAAATGGTCCCTTATTGAGGCAGTATGATCTTTCAATCTATGCTCCTATGCTACTAATTGAGCATTGAGAGTACCCGCCCCATATCTTGGCAGGGCAATGACCCTGGTGCTTGTGAATTTTGTGAAAAATTGCATGCAACTGGGGGATATTTGCAGCCATGGCGTGTCAGGACTTACTTTGCCTGTGCATAAGTACAGATCTGAGCCTCAATTGTCACTTGTATCTTACTTTGGGTGTATTTGACCTGGAGGAAAATGTTTTAGTGAAGCAGCCCTAAAAGTGGCTACCTGATATAATTTCTGCAATTAAGACCTTCGTCATGAGGCCCATAATTTTGGGAGGTCCAAAAGGATTAGGGCACTATTAGATCAAGCATAAGGAAAAACAAAAATGGCAAAAATCTCATTCTTCAAGTCTGAGGCTGCTACCACTCTGTCATTCTCAGCAGAAGGTGAAACTAAAATGGTGAAAATCTTGGAGTTGTTGCTGCTCCCCTTTGTCTTTCTCAGCAACCAATGATCACTCAAATTTCCTATTTTCAAATCACTCTTTGGCAAATAAGTTCAATGAGGCAGTGGAGATTTTCATTCTTTACTCATCAGATGGTTGAGCTTGCTATATCTTGGCGTGGCATCTTTTGGGGGTTTTGTGAGTGGGAGCTATTTTGGTTTCCGTGTTTCACAAAGTCTTCTTAAGCTTGCAGCCATGGTGGGGTTTTACTTATGTCTGAGAAAAGGTGAATCTGAGCCTCGAGTATCTGTTTGCGTTCAAAGAATGAGGCTTTTTATGGAACTCGAGAAAGGTTGAGATTTTCTAAGGGTGGTTACTCTCTTTCTCCGAAGTTCTATTTGGCCAATGAATATTTCTTTACCTTTGTTACAAAGAGAAAGATTAACAGCCCTTTCATCAGCAAAATGCCAATTATGGTGATGATGATGATAGCCATGTTTATGGTAGTAATAAGGAAAAGGCCAAGTGCATAGATAGCCCCTTAAAGTTGGCATGATTTCCCAGTTATTTTGTCACTTAAACTTGTCCCGAGAAATCTTTTTGTACTTGGATCCTAAACCCTATATTTTGTGATGAGGCTATGATGATATTCTCCAGGAAGCTTGAAAGTCGGATCATTTAGCTGATTCGTATCTTGGCTAGGCAAAGGCAGGTTAATTTGTGAGGTGGATTGTTATGTGCTCTCACAAAGGTGTCTGCTTCTTGCAGCCACGGCGGATTAGCCACTGTTCTGATAGATTTTAAGGCAAATCTGAGCCTCTTTTCTGTGTTAAGTTTAATTCTACAAATTGTCTTTCACATTTACTACCAAAATTCCTAAACATTTCTTGTTAGCAAATGGTACCTTTCTAAGGATGAGTTTTCCTTGTATTGTTCTTCTTTATCATCGGTCCAACTGGTTGAGGACATACAAAAGCTTAATTGGCCTTCTAACGGTAAACCATGCAGTTGCAGGATCTATTGTTATTGCGATGGCTTGTTTCTTATTGGGGTTCGTAATTCTGATAAACACCGCATATGGACTCTTTGGCATTTGTACATGGAGCATTTCACTGTCTTGCTTTGTCACTGAATAATTTTGTGGTTTCATTTTGTATTGCAAAGCAGTACAGAGAGATATCGTTGCCAGAGAGGTGCTTGATTTTAAACGTGGCCGTACATAAAAAATGGAGTTTCAGTATTGGGAGGAATGCTTTGTGGTTATTCAACTTATACTCATCAGGGGAAGGACACTTTCAAGTTAGGAGTAATGAAAGACTATGGTTCAAGAAATCTTGGAATAATTTGTTTACATATACAAGGTACTGAGGAAATTGTTTCAGTGAAGCAGCCCTAAAAGTGGCTACCTGGTGTCATTTCTACAAATAAGACCTTTCACATGAGGCCCATAATTTTGGGGTGTCAAAAGATCAGGGCACTATAGTATGAAGCAGAAGGTGAAATGAAAACGGCAACAATCCCATTAGTTTAAGTTTGAGGTTGCTGGATTTAGAGAGCTGTGGCGAGTTGTTTGTGTGGTTGCCCCTCTTAGCAGCCAATGATCACCCAATGTTTACCAATTTCAAACTATTCTTTAGCAAATTAAGTTCACTGAGGCAGTGACGATTTTCATTCTTTACTCATCTTTTGGCTGATTTTTGCTGTATCTTAGCGTGGCAGCTTACAGCGACCTTGTGAGATATGGGATCTATTTAGGTTTCTGTGTCTCGTGAATGCTTCTTAAGCCTGCAGCCATGGCGGGGTTTAGTTTATGTATGAGAAAGGCAAATCTGAGCCTCCCACATAGCTGTTTGTGTTTAAAAAAATGAGGCTTCTTATGGAACTCGGAGAATGGTTGAGATTTTGTAAGGGTGGTTACTCCCTTTCTCTGAAATTCAATGTTGCCAATGAATTTTCCTGTACTTCTCTTACAAAGAGAAAGACTAACAGCCCTTTCATAAAAAAAATGCCAGATATGTTCTATAAGATGGGAAAATACATATTTTGCCCACCTAAACTAGCCCCAAAAAAAACCGAATCCTAAACCCTAAACATTGTGAATGAGGCTATGATGATATTCTCCAGGAAGCTTGCAAGTCAGATTTTTGAGCTGATTCTTATCTTGGCTAGGCAAAGGCAAGGGAATTTGTGAGGTTGGTTCTTATATACTCTCACAGAAAGGTTTCTGCTCTTTGCAGCCATGGCCCATGGTGGATTAGCCTTTTTTCTGATATTCAAATCTGAGCCTCTTTTCTTTGTTAAGTTTACTGCTACCATGGGTCTGTTTCTTTCGTTCTTTAATTATTTTTATGTTCTTGTTGTATAATATTGGTTTGTGATGAGTCTAAACGTAGTGACATGATCTAAATGTAGCAACATGATCAGCGGGAATTCATATAGTTGATCCTAGCTTGCTTGGGACTGATGCGTTGTTTTTTTTTTTTTTTTGTTCAAGTTATTCTTCTGCTTTGCATAATATCCAGTTTCAAAAGAAAACTGTCATGTTTTATATACACATTTTCCGAGAAGCAAGTTCAAATGGAAGTGAATATTGAGGATTTATATGTTGTCTTTGGCCTGGCTTGGCAAGACCAGTCCTGTGGTCTTTCTTATAAGGCAACTGATGGTTGCAACCACAGCAATGTTAACTCTGCTATTTTCTTTGATTAAATAAGCGAAAATCTGAGCCTTATCCTCAACTTGGTTTGTTTGCATCTTCTTTTTTTACAAGTCTTTCTGGAGATAGTTTTAGACAAGAAATATTTTCGTTGTTCTTTTTGGTCTATTATTTTATATTCAGGTTCTCCTTTATTTAGTGGTTACTGGTTTGTTACAGGTTGGAGGGAGTTATGGTGTCTCCAATTTCCCTGGATCATTTGTCTTTCTGCAGAGCCAAATTTCAAGTTGTTCAGGGGTTCTCTCTTTTCAAGTTTCATTTTCTTTTGGTATTTTTATCCCAGTTATAGCTGTAGTTTCTTGGAGCCTTGCTTTAACTTTGAAGACTATTCAACTCTTGGAGCTTGAGATTGTGTCAATACAAGTTTAACACTAATGCTTCTTTATTTCTCTTTCACTCTTAGATGAGAATGTGCACAGTTCAAGAAAGCCTGATAGCTCTAACACGCGCAGGGAATGAAGAAAACCGGTCAGTTTAAGAACTAAACTTATCCACCAGCTGGTTGTCCTGTCCAAAATTGAATTCTGACTCCATAGAGAAACTTCAAGCAGTTCTATGATATATATAGGAATTAAGATTCTGTTGGTGAATCTCTTGTGCATAACAGCATAGCATAGAACGGCCCTTTCTAAGATTCTTGAATTACTTTGTGATACACTTTGAGCATAAGATCGATGTTCATTAGAATTCTTAGAAGATCAAGAAATGCGCGCCTTTATATCTTGTCTTTTTTCTTTTTCTTTTTCTTTTTCTATTATGAATCAAGAAGGTGAGCCTTGGCGTAACGGATAAAGTTGTTGCCATGTGACCAGGAGGTCACTGGTTCAAGCCGTGGAAACAACCTCTTGCAGAAATGCAGGGTAAGGTTGCGTACAATAGATCCTTGTGGTCCGACCCTTCCCCGGACCCCGCGCATAGCGGGAGCTTAGTGCATCGGGCTGCCCTTTTTTATATTATGAATCAAGACAATGTACTTGTTTAAGTTTGTTTCATTGTTACTGTGATTTTGTGAAATTGCATTCTCATT